TTTATAATTAATTATTACCTTTTGGTTGATGTGTAACTTTTAAACTCTTAAAAGGAAGAAATCTAACAAATTGGTGGCAAATAATTGTGACTCTTTGGCCTCAATAACAACTAATTTATTTATAAGCTTTGGATGAAGAATAGCTTAAAGAACAAAAATATAAAGTCGAAAAGTGATATTTGAATCGAAACAATAGGCTTATACTTGAGTAACTTGAGCCTAAATTTGACGAGAAAAATCGTTGATAGAAGACAATTCAATGTGGAAGTGGAAACGTTATTTATTTAAATAAATGTTTCTTGTTTTAAAAAATAAATTATTGTAAAATATTTTTTAGTTAATTTTGTTTTCCATTAAACTAATAACTAAATCAAATTAATTTTTTTTTTTATTTTCAATCTGAAAATGGAAACGTTATGTAAATAAATACTTTTTTTCCAATTTAAAAAAAAATTTTCGTTTTAAAAAAGTTTTTTTTATTTTATTTTAGTTAATTTTTTTAAATGAAACCAATTAAATAAAATTTGTTTTATTGTTTTCAAACAGCAAGTAGAAACATTATTTATGTAAATCAATTTTTGTTTCGTTTCTCCCAAATTTTTTTCTTTTAAAAAATTTCTTTTCAGTTTTGTGTTTAGTTAATTTTTGTATAGTAAACTAATTAAATAAAAATTTTTTGTATTTTTATTATGTGCCGAATTTGCCTTCAGAATAGTTAGAACATTTATATTAGTGAGCAACTCTTACACAATTTTAAGACAGCCAGTAATTTAAAATCATGCTTTATGCGAGCACCGTGATTCAAATCAAGTACTTCAAATTGTGGTATGGTCCTGCTAGCTAGCTAGCCTTGAATATATGGGACTCTCTTTTCAGTCAGTTTAGTTCAGTGTCTCCAATTTACTGCTGCAACGGCAAATGGAGACAATTTTTGATAAGTCTAATAAAAATGAAGAGTATTAAAGAATATTTCGCAATATTGCCCATCTCTAAAGGACAATATTTAGTAGAGCCATGATTGAACATTGCATACTTACAGGCGCTATATAATATATGCGCATGGCCAAACAGCCAAAGCCGCCAAAGCCTCATCAAACAAATTTGTGTATAGACAGGAAAAATCACGACTCATTTGATTTCGGCGTTTTACGTCATACCGAATGCCAATTTGGTGACAGGCGTTAGGCAGTAGGATCAGGATACGAGTGTTGGTGTCAGTCAACAAATCTCGTCAGTCAGTCAGCCAGCCAGTCATTCACATATTCACGCTTATTCAGTCATCCATTCAGTTCGTCAACTGACTTCGTCCACTCAACATTGACAGAACAAAGCAAATGGCGCCCATAGGCTGTCAAAAGAAGGACCTCCATGCATGTACGACTAGTAGGTGGTGTGTTGCCTCAATTATGCGTTAGCGTTTGTCATGCCTGTCTGTCCAGTGTGTGTGTGTCGGTTTGTCCGCGTGTCGCTTAATAATATGTTAATTGACAGCTTAAGCCAACTGTCAGCCCTGCTAGTATATACTATTTATGTGTGTGCGCATATCTGTGTATTATTAGATATGACATGACAGCACATATGCCATGTTGATTAGTATGTATGAGTGCGTGCGTGTGTGTGTGTGTGTGTGTGTCGAGCTGTCTCGCATGTCGAACTCGTTTATGACACGCACACACCTACACACACAGCATCAGTTAAATTAAAACGACCATTGACGAAAAAAAGGCAAAACCTTGCCAATAACTAATTGAAGCGCACCACACGGCGTATACGCAACACATGTCGTTAGTTTCGCGAAGGGCAGTGCCGGAGAGGGTTACTTATTAAAATATGCAAACGTAATGAACTTCACCAGCTGCAGAGCCAAATGAAATTAATTTTGCATAATTTTTACACGACCACGCACGTCCAGAGCGCACAATGGGCAGATTATGTCAGACATTATCTGCGTTTTTATGCCTCGGTTATGCTCTTCACCTGAAAGGTGCAAGCATATATTAGGTTTGTGCCAAATGGAAAACGTAACATGCAGAAGGGGGCGTGGCGGCAAGACAAGACAACTCGATTTAACCCTATGTGTCTGTCCGTATGAGCGCCTAGATCTCAGCGACCATAAGTGTTAGTGGCAACAAATTTTGCTCCCAGATACTCTATATGAGTACAAAATACAAGTGTATTTCAGAATTTTCCTTCTTCCCATCTTCCCCCAGTATACTGATTTTCCCTAACACCCGTAATTCTTGAAATTTTTTACACAAATTTGGCAAATACCTGCTTTTAGTAATTATTTCTCATCATGATAGCTCAATTTAAAAGAAAGTTATAGCCATAAATGTAATCTCTGCTCAAGTTTTCTGCTCACACATAGGCCCACATACACACGCATAGACAACATAGATACAAATACCTAAATCGATAAAAAAAAAAGTTTTTTTATTTTACAATTTCGGTTTTATTTTCTCAATATAAGAAAACGTTGTTTTATAATTTCTTAAAACCTTTGTTTGGCACAGTCTTCGATTTGAATGACTTTTGTTTTATTCAGTAGAAAAGTGAAAATAATAAATACACTTCTTTTTACTTTAGATTGTGTCAAACAAGGGTTAAGGAAATTAAAAAAAAACGTAAGAAAATTAACAAAAAAAATGGTTTGGTTATCACAATTTTGCTCATTCTTTTTTTAATTTTCTTACTTTTTTTAAAATTCTTTCATTATTGTACACATATGTACAGAGCATTTCAAAGTCGGGGCACGCTACTTTAGCTTTTCCACTTGTTTTTATTTTTCCATCCAAATGACCATCAAATGGCAATCAAATTGTAATCAAATTCGATGGTAGACATTACCTCTTATGGGATCTGTATTTATGTGCCTATATATACAAGTATATATTTATATCAATCAGACATAAGTATTATGATGATTAAATACATGGCAAGTAAAATAAATTTACGGAATATGAAGAAAATTCACGTAAAAATTGCAATAAAAAGTTCATTGAGGACCCTTAAAACGGCTCGATTAGGTAATGCCAGCGTGTACGAAAAAAAACATTGATGAAATAAAAGCTAGAGGAAATCGATTATTTTCTTGCATTTTTAAATGTTCTCTATATTCTTTAGTTTTCAAGATAAACCAGCACAAAAGTAGTGTATGTAAATAGTTGGTTTTAGTACATTTTTTCAATATCTTTCAACACACCAGTCAGTACAATGAGCGGCTAGGAAACCACCGCAGCAGACAGGCTAGGCCCGTCTCTGATAATCGCCCTCATGAGGAAACAACCGGCGAAATTATGAGGTTAAGCTGCTAATTGTTAGCACCAGATCTTTGTTAAATGCATAACGTTTTTCCCATCGACATGTGTGGCTTGATTTAAAGAATTGTCGTGCTTTGGGAAAAAAAATGAAGACCGATTCACAAAAAATCGTGCCACTCTTCAAATTTTCATAATTTTCACAAAAATTCGTTGCAAACAGAACTGCTCGTGAAATATTCCATAAAATATTGCAATACAAAAATTCTATTTGGATTTCTGTCAGTCAGAGTTTTCGCCTCTTTTCTGTTTAATTGCGATGGTATTTACAATAAAATTTTAAAACGTTTTTAGAAAACGTAAATGCTGAATGAAAATCGCAGAAAATTCAAATCATAAATGCTTGAATGAAAAGATTGTAACAATTGAATTACAAAGTAAAAACCATACGAACCTAAATAATTAGAGAGACATGTTATGTGTTTGGGTGAGAAAAATAATTGTATATTTGTATTCCTTTTATTAAAAACAGATTTTTGTTTGTTGTATTAAAAACAGATTTGGTACAAAATGAAGAATTAAGTAGTTCAGAATTATTGCTCCTTAAGCACTCGAATAGAGACTAAGTTCTCCAATAGAACCCAAAAGAAAACCCGACTACTATTCCATTTACTAAGTGTTTGTTTAATCCCAAAACATGCCTAGTCTTAGCTTCGCAATTGGCGAGAGCAAGAGTTCAAGACTTCATGAAACAAATTATTGAAATGCCTTTACTTTAAGAACTAGACATTAAAGCTTAAAGCTGTTTAGCATAGAAAGATCAAATTGACTGACAATTCTTTCATATATGTACATAAATAATTCGTGTACATATTTAAAGAACCACACAGCTGAGTAATGCTTGTTTCCAAGCAAAACATTGCTAAGTATATAGATAAGTATAAGTTCCTGCATCATTCATATTACAATTCCTTCATTTTTGTGCTCAATCCAATTCATTGAATGGCCGCATATATATTTCATAACTCTTAACGTCTTCATTTTTCTGCTTTTCCTCTATTTTTTGTTTTTTTGGGTTGACCCATTGATTGACCAGCATGACCAACTTCGGCGCCCATCGTGCGGCCGAATGTCGTTTATTTTAATTTAGTTGAGCGGACATGAACAAAAGCCGTGCCGACAAACAAGCGACCGATGAACTGACAATCTATCTGTCTCCGGCTAGGCTTGTATTTATATTAGTATCTGTATATACATATATGTAGATGTAACTGTGTGTATAAAAACAAAAGTATTTATTACATAGCTAACACAAATGGCAGTCCGTTGTCTTTTGCAGGCACATTACTCACGGCCAGCGAACAGAAAACAGAAGAAGATCTGAAAAAGTCACAAAGTCGGGAGCCCAGTAAAATTCAAATACGACGCTCAGAGGCGTGGCAGTCAACACTGGCGTTATTCGTATTGTTCTTGTTGTTGCCACTGACGCGCTCATGCGGCTCGGAATGAAAATGTAAACCACCGCCAGCCGACAGACCCAATGATAGACCAACCCCAGAGAAAGACCCAAATCAAGTTTATCAAGCAGGCTGCTTTCTGAAAACCAAAGCCCGCAACAGAGGCCCCAAAAACAACAACAACAATAATAATAACAATAACAACAACAACAGCGACCACAACATCAACCACAACATCAACCACAACATCAACCAACTTGCTGCTTAATAAGTCGCCCACAACAGAATGGGCCCCAAAACAATGGGCCCCAATCGGAGGCTACTGTTCTTTTCTCTCATGCTCGCTATCCTAATTAGCTTGCCTGGCCTTAGTCGAGCCACTGGATGTGCCGATTGGCAAAATGCAAGCGAATGCCCAAATCAGTACAACAGCAACAACAACAACAAAAATAACAACAATGGCACCTACTTGGCAACTGTATCAGCATCATATGATTATGGCAATAGCAACAGCCAACTGAACGTTTCAATTAATCTGCTCGACATGGATTTCGATCGTGATGTGGAGGGCTGGCCACTGGAACGCGTCGTATCCACCATTGTGCCCGTATTTTTTGGCATCATTGGCTTCGCTGGCCTGCTCGGCAATGCGCTTGTCATATTGGGTGAGTACACTGAAAGAAAATTAAAGCACTCACAAAAAAGTCTATGTATATATGTATGCCCTGAATTGTTTCAGAAATTTGTCCCAAAGATGGGGAAATTTCTGATGATTTTAGTTTTCGACTTCCAAGAAAGAAAATTAAAGCTCTCAGAAAAAAGTTTATGTACTCGTATATGCCCGAAACTGTCGCAAAAATTTTTCCCAAAGACGGGAAAACTTCATATTTTAAAAGTTTTTGGCTTCAAAGCTTGGTTTCTGGCCCGATCGTAATTGGCTTATAAAGTGATCTTTATGAGGTAAATATTTTTTGCCACTAATCTTGTTTACGTCACAGATCTTACCCTGAATTGTTGCAGAAATTTGTGCCAAAAAGGGGGGAAATTACTGCTATTATAAGCTGTTGACTTCCAAGAAAGAAAATTAAAGCTCTCAGAAAAAAGTAGATGTACTCGTATATGCCCGAAACTGTCGCAAAAATTTGTTTCAAAGACGGGAAAACTTCATACTTGTATTTTAAAAGTTTTTGGCTTCAAAGCTTGATTTTTGGTCCGATCGTAATTTGCCTATAAAGTGATCTTTATAAGCTAAATGGTTTTTGCTATTAATCTTGTTTACGTCACGGATCTTTCCTATGAAAGCTAAATGTATATAGCAGTTATTTTGATAATATGTTCGAAATATGTTGAGGCTCTATAAAAACCTGGAGAATATCAAAATGAATTCAGAATCTTCACAAAAAAACAAATTATCCTAAGAAAAATGATTTTTGTAGCGATTGATCCAATGGAAGCTAAAAAAAAAAATAGGGCATATAGCCTTTGGATTTTCCAAAACTTGTTTTGCATTCGAATAAGATAAGTGTATTTACCAAGTTAAGTATCCTCAAGTGCTGCGGCTTCAAAGTTCTGGGTGCTCATACAGACAAACAAACATGCGAATACGTCTAATATTATTCGTTGGCTCATGCTGACAATATACTATATGTACCTATTTATAACATTGGATCTGCCACGACTTCTCCTGTTCGTTACATACATTGGCATTAAAAAATTTCGACATACCTCAACCCTACCCTATACCCTGTATAATAAAAGTAAAACATCTTGAAAACTTAGAAAATGGGTAGCTTTTTCGAAACATACTAATCTTTTTATTAAAGGTAATTTTTCTGAAAACTCTTCTACTTATATTGCTTCTTTTTTAAATGTCCATATTAAGAATAAAAAGTTGTTCTATTTTTCCATTACGTTATACTAAGTATTTCCATTTTTTAATTAAAATAACTGCACTTCAGTGCATTCATTTTTTTAATTTTTCGCATGCAATTATAAATGCAAATTGGAAAGCAGTAATCAGTGTGTGGGCGCATTTTCCAATTGATCGCGCCGACCTGCCAACCCTTTTAATGTGAACTGACAACTCTTCAACGTCCACAAATTAAATGTAAATTAAACATTTTTTCGATTCAGTTTGCCAGTCCACTGCAGTGGACTGGATTATGAGTATAAAATTAGGAGTTTATTCAACATAATTCTAATGAAAATTTTGTTGCACACAAATGCATATTAGTTATTACTTAAAAAAATTAGAAATTACACTGCAAACTGATGATATAATGAAGTGAAATACTTTAAATGAACTTTTAGGAAAAATAACTTCATTGCCAATATATCCACATCTCTGCAATAATATCATAATTATGTGTTACAATTGTTTTTAGATCTGCCTATTTCTCATTGCGTTTTATTTCTTTAGAGACGATATGTAATGACTATAAATTATAGAAACAAGCCGCAAACAACAAGACAGAGGCGTGGTTCAAGTTTAAAATTATCACAAACTTTAATAATTGTACAACCTTAAGACAGCTTTTAAATAAAGGTTGAAGTATTAATCTTTTCTTCAAAAGAAACAAGTCACTCCTCAGACTATACCAAAATGTATATAACTATTATCCCTTCAATTTGGACGACTTCAAAGACGACCTACCTTATAGCAATATTATTTCCCAGTTAACCTTCCCTTCGATCGCTTGCACGCTCAATTGCACTGAGCCTTATCGCTTCTAGCTCTGGTTCTGGCTCTCGCTCGCCCCCCAGCCCGCCCTACTTCGCTAGCAAAGGACCTGCTCGGCCATTTGGCAGAGTTTCATTAGCACGGTCCTGGCCATGGCCCTGGCCCTGGTCGTAGCCAAATAATGCGTAATAATTGTAAATGTTGCAGCCAACCGGCGAACGTTAAATGCGACTTAATATGGCAAATAAAAACGTGCCTCGATTATGAGGCACCTATTTGGGGCAGGTTGTTGCAACAGGAGCACAGGAAATGCGGCAACTCAAGCTCCCAGCCATAACAACAAAATATTCGTGTGCTTTATAGTTATAGCCACATATACGTGTATACGGGCAATCAACTAAATAGTCTTACTAATAAAGAAGTGCGGAATGGCATTGACCTTACGCCCACAAATACTAGTTTAGAAAATGTTCAGCTTCAATATCTCTTCATTTAAAATGTAGAATTGAAGCCGACTAAGGACGATTTAGAATGAAATAAAACTATTCTAGATTTGATTTTGTTTGGCAGCTATTTTTTGTTGTTGTGTTTCATCATTGAAGTCTTCTCACTACAAAATAACCTGCATACTAAGTTTGGTAACCCATTGAGTTTAGACGGACAGACGGACGACTTGAACTTGTTTTATTTGTTTGAAAATCAATAGAAATTCATACTGCCAACAAAGGAAAATTGTGAAACATTATAAAACCAAACTTAATATTAAGGAAATGCAGCAATACGGCACTAGAAGGAACTACAAAGTTTATAGATTGTAAAAGGGTGCCTAAAGTGATTTCTCCCGCCAGTAGCTCGTAAATAAAAATTACACCATGACAGGTTCTACGATCTCGCAAGGTAGGGAGATCAAGCAAACGTAATCTTTCATATTATGGTGGCAATCGTCGATTGGGATCCCTCACAAGGCAAATAATAAAAATTGCTTTTTGAAGGACTCAATCAAATCCTGGTTTTTATTTTTATACTCGGACCATATGCATGAGCAATATTTCATGGGATATATAAAATATCTTAATTGTGTAAGTAGCGTCAGATTCCTGCGACCAACATTTTACGAAACCCCGAATACCTCTAGCTTTACAAAGCATATTTACAACATGAATATTAAAGTAAAGCTTGCAAGATCAGTAATAGAAGCAATAGTTTCCAAAACATAGTCATCCACTAAATAGGAGGAAACATGACTATGATTATGCGGATTAAGATATGCATCCTGCATGCTTCAAAAAGTGCGTTGACTTCCAGAATTGTTCACTTTGTTTGACTTCAGTTGTTTTTGCAAACTTTGCAAATTTTACAAATTGTGCATCCAGTCGCTGCCAAATCGACCTTAACGAGAACTCATTTCGGTGTCCACATCCTTAAATTAAAACAAGAAGACATCCTTTACCTTAAGCTGACTGGGAGAAAATTCAGGTTCAAATTCAATAATTGATTGAAATGAAATTACAAATCAAACAAGCACCCTTTTTTGTTCCAACTCAATAGAAAATGTAATTAAACGAAATTTCTAAAATATTTGTCCTGCCATGCTCTTCCGAAATGCTCAATCGACATGTGAATGAATTCATTTGTTTTGCCTCTTCAGTTTGAAGACCGCTGATATGCAAACAGAGTCAGATTAAGTGCTCCCTTAATTGTTGCTTCTCCCCTCTGCCGCAACGGACAGGGCTACCCTTCTTTAGTTGTAATTGATATTGATTTCGACAATTAAATGCTAACAAATAACATTTTGTGCGACCCCAGCACACCGAAAAAAAAACAAAAAAAAAAAACTGGAGAGATAAAAAAGGAGTAGGCAGGCAGGCAGGCAGGAAGGCAACAAAATATTTATCTTGCCCTTAAACGTTTGCAATATACACAGAAATATTCCCACGCAATAAGCTGGGTTCAGTGTCCTGTGCAGAGCCTGTTCCTGTTAACAAATTGTGAAGAGAAATAATCAATTATTTGAAAACATTTCAATGTGGATTTGCTCAAACTACGAACCAAAACTTTTGTTCGAATACAATATTTAAAGATAGCGTTTAAGTTCTGCTGCTTGCTTTGCTCTCCACAGCATTCATATATGAATGTATACTCGTACTTGCGATTTGATGTGGAAAACAAACTCAACTTGAGCGCTCAATTATGGCTCCGGAGTTAAAGCCAAACTGCACACATGTATGCATTAATAGGAAAATTCCAATTCCAATCAAAATACAAACAAAGTTTTCTCATGAAATGCAAAATACATGCGCGCTATAATTTGCCATACAAACGAACAAATATATATATACAAGTATATGCACTATATGCTTATTGCATTGCACTGTTTTGCAGAATAGTCATGCGTGTGGCAACAACAACAAGAACAACAGAAACAGAATCAACGAAAAGCACGAGGACCTGAAGGAGCTGAAGGAGCTGAAGGAGAAGAAGCAGCCATGCAACTGTTGCCAAGTTATTGTCGCGCTGTCATTCAATAAAGTTGCAATTTCTATTGAAATGCCACAACACACACACACACACAGCTTTGAGCTTACCCTTCTCCCTCCCCCTCCCCCTCCTCACTTCACTTAACTCCATTACCGACTGTAGCCTTCATTTTTGGCATGCCATGGAGGGAGTGGCAAGCGGAACACGACTCGCTATGAAATTATGGCTACAAATCCACTGAGGCGCGCAACATGACTCAGGTGTCTGCATAAGCCAGCGGCATATACAAGTAGTAGTAGATCGTAGTTCCTGTTACCCCTTCCTGTAATCCAGCACCCCCACCATTACACTCGTACTCGTATGTATAGTATGTGTGGCATTCCAATGGCAAGCAGGCAGGCACAGTGCCATATTTCAGTCTCTGGCTTAAGCCTGAAAAATTGTATTAAACTGCTGGGCCAACCCAGGCCAACCCAGGCCAGGCCAGGCCAGGCAGTGTAGCGAGTG